ACAGAAGCACTACAAACAATCGATTTTTTCCAAGTAAACAAACTTATCAGTTAAGTTTGAGAGTATCAAATTTTTTCTTTTTTTTTTTCAGGAAAAAAACGCGTTGTATCCGAGTAGGACGAATAAAATTGTCATAAATACCATTTAATATTTCTATTCTCGATTCTAGGCAATGTCTATATCTATGGTACTATTGAGAATCCTTTAGAACGGACGACTAAACTAAACGGACTTGTTGTCTTCAATGGAGACGATGTTATTAGACAAAATGGTTATGTAAAACAAGTTTCTATTGTTTTTTCAAATTCTCACAATCCATCAGTGACAATGGACATGTCAGATCATGTAGTTCTTTATATTATTTCGCCAACATGCGATACAGATTGTTTTCAAGTAGTCGATGTATTAAAGACAGACGTTCGTGATTATCAATATGATAACAATAAACTAACAATTCATATGTACAATTCTGCTGTCTATGTCGAGCAAGGTCAATATTTGGCTATTGGCTTTGATAAGAATTCGCGTTCTCCAAGCTATTTGGATGCTTTGAGTTCATGTTATATACTTGATATTGATGCAGTCAATCGAGTCTATATGACCAATACTTTCATTGAATTCCAACGGACACTTAGCCGAGTAGCAATTAGTTTTCAAATAATTTTAACTTCAGGTAGGATTATACTCTTTTATAAATAAAAAAAGTAATTATTAAATAGATCGAAATTTCTGAAAACTATTTGAATATTGAGAGAAGTGAAAGTTAATCAATTATATTTTTAGAATTTATTTGTGATATATATATTTGGTCAATATTTGCTGCTAATTTTAATTTGTCTATCTGTTTGTGTTCACGGAGTCCGGTACGTTTTATTTTTATTTCTTTTAATTTTTAATTGTTTATTGATAATTGAAATAGAATCCAATTGTAGCCGTACTTTTGGCTAGTAAGATTTACAAAAAAGCAGCCGAATTGGTCGATAATAGAGAGCTACAGTGAGAATATCTTGCAAAAAAGGAGTACGACAAGATTGTTTTTTCAAAACTTTATTTTCATAATCAATTCTGTTTTGTGCACCAGAGAATTCGATACACATGCAGTACAAATTATTGATAAATGTTTTTCTCAAGATAAAAATTTTGCCCTACAACTATTGACAACACAATCAAATTTGTATTTCGGCTATTGTTCATTGACACTAGCCGAAGAAACGAATAACCGTTCATTTCTAGCTACTAGATGTGTACAAGCGTATGCCAATCGACTTTGGTACGGCCACATTGACAATTCTGTTAACAGAAGAACTGTTATTGATACACTGGTCAGTAACATATAATTGAACTTCATTTAACTATTGAAATTTGAAAATATTACAGATGTGTGTTCTGTCTATTTTTCCTTTTCTGGTAATATTTTCTGGCATTTATCGGATTATTCGATCGCCAACCATAAAACGAATGTAAGTTGAAAAAAAAACCTTTGTGCAGATGATTTCATACGAAAAATATGTTTTGGAAAACTTCATTACATTGCCATTATTGCCAGTACTTTCCGATTAAACTGTATAGAAAATCAAGATTATTATCGATTACAACCGGTTAGATTTGTAATTTGTATCTTAGATTAATAATCCCAAGAAATCATTGTAATCGATTATGATCATGTTTTTTTCAGCAATAATTCTTACATTAAAGATGTATGTTCAATTTAGCGGCACACGTAGTTGGCCAAAAAGAATAATCTATGATCGGCTCAAGGACTTCTTTGACGGAAGAGCTATCATTCGATACTATTATAATATTGTAAGTGATTAAATTCAATTTGAACACTAGTATTTATTCAATATTATTATAGATATTTTACGTAATCATGTTGTGTCTATTCAGTTTTGTAATGCTTGTCGACTACTTTCCATACAATAACAATCGGGGTAAACGTAGTGGTTATTCGATTGGCATTCCAATTTCTGAAATTATTCTACTTGTATGTATTTGGGGACTAATCATTGAAGAAGCCGTTGAGGTATGTAAAACATTCTATGGAATTGATTTGGTAAAAAATAATAACCGATCTTTAGTTCGGTATTCACTATCGTCAACAAAAGAAAAGCAATAGTCGTATATGTACTATTATCTCGTCGTATTTTCTCGATGATAGATGGAATATACTCGATGCTGTGGCTATATTTATCTATCTTGTTGGTTTTATTACGAGATTCATTGTTATTGAACAAGTCTTTGTCATATCAAAGTTAGTTCTTCTAATGTTAATTTTACTTTCACTTTTCGTGTGATTTTCACAGAATTTTCATGTGCATCGATCTCTTTTTGTGGTACGTACGTATTCTTCATTTGTTCTTTGCGTACGAACAACTTGGGCCCAAGTTATTAATGATATTTAACACAGTAAGCGAAATCATTGCGCTCTCATAATGTAATGCATTCGAGCCTTGTTTTTTAGATGAAAGATTTAGTCTTCTTTATTTATTTCATTGCTGTTTTTCTTGCTGCCTATTCAATCACTTCTTTTGCACTTATCATTACTCCACATCAAGTTAGTTGGATTCCAAATGAAAATGGTGCATCTTCTCGTAGATACAACATCATACAGAATAGAACCAACCTATCAGCATGGCATCTCTTACGGAATATTATTGATTGGGGTGTTTGGAAGATTTACGGACAAGTTGATCTAGTTGAGTATAAACAAGATTCTGAATCGATTATTATAGGTAAGGTACGTCATATTTGTGTTCATCATATTCTAAGTATTTCTAAATAGTTGCTAATGATGCCTATGGAAATTCGGTTTTTGTTTTGACAATAATCTTTGTCTGTATCTCTAATGTACTTCTGCTCAATGTCCTTGTGGCTCTTTTCAAGTAAGTATTCAGTCTTCAACAAAACTTGTTTATGAATTAGCGATACTGATTGAACGATGAGAAGAGAAGTTTTATTGAATGAAATTTGATGAATACTAATGAACTTTTTCTAGAAACTTAATATTATTTGCGCTCAACATTCTAAAGAGTTCACTTATGCTGTTTTACAAATATCTATCTCTTGAGAGACTAGTAATATGAAAAAGCTATTTATTGAGGCATTTTAGATGAGTTTTAGGTTTTCTAAAAATGATATATCTACATAAAGTAACAAGACTTGTAGTGTTGAACAGTGTTATTTTCCATTAATTCAATACTAATAGAAAATAAAATGATCAAACTTTGATGAGGAATAATTGATAAGATCAACACATTTCTTTCGTTTCGATATGTAGAATCGTTTATATATCTGCAATAATTTCAAATACTATTCAAACACTTGTAGCCGTTCCTGCTATTCTTCAAAATCAAATTCAATGTGAATTGTATGATTTCAGTTTTGTACCGTAATGCTTAATGGAAATATTCTCTATTTAAGTGTAAAAATTGCTTCATTTTGTCACTTGATATCTTCTGTCATTTGTGATTCCATGTATCTAATTTGTCTTGTATCAAAGAGTGTGTCAGAAAATAAAGCATAATAGAATCCTTTTTCTAAAGTTTCACTTGGTCATATCCTATGTTCTGAGATACTCATTAATATAAGAAAAAATAACTGAATAACATAAAATGAAACAGATTTGAGAAAGATTTCTATTAAAACAACTAGCAACTGCCTCTGGTATCAGTCATATTCCATGGTTTTCATTTGAGGCAATTAACCATCAAAAGTATGAATAAATATTTGATTAATTACTACTGAAGTAGTGTAGAGCAAGGTGGAAGAGAGCTAAATGGATCACTAGGAATTTCTTAAATTCCAAATGCCCTTAAGAAAAAAGAAAACGTTATCTCACTCACTAAAATATCATTGAGTCTAAATCGAAAAATTAACATTACAATACAGTAAAATATATTCATTATTTTTCTTTTAGTGTTACACTTACAAAGACCAACAATAATGCAGAGAAAGATTGGGGTTATCATCGATTTCTACTTGTTAGAGAGTATTCGAGAAAATCTCCGATAACATCGCCATTAAATATCTTATACTATATCATTCAGCTGATTTTTACATTAATTCGGTTTCTAGGCAAGAAAAAGGGTAAGTAAACTTGAAGACGAACTTTATCAACTACGTCAAAGTAAACATAACATATTAGTTATGGTTAGTAAACTCAATTCATTAGGATATAAATTACAAAACCGATTATTTCATGCAGAAACAAAATATGATTACTTCCTGGTTTTTGCTTTGCTATTCATCATCATAACTTCACTTGTTGATTCTGTTATGTTAGTAGCTTTAAATATCGAATGATTCTTCTCAACATATACTCTTAAGTAACAGAATATTTTTCGGGA